AGCATCCTCAACAATTTCTGTCGGGAGAAGCTAGAGCAGAATAAAAAATGTACAGAAGGGGGTGGGGGTCAAAAGTCACTAAGGCAGATGGCGTCGGCACGTGTTTCAAAAATCCTCTATCATCAGCTTAGACATGCTATGATTTAAGAAGAAAAAAAAACATTTTTCACTAATTGGCAGAAAAAAATATAAGAGTTCAAATGGCAACATACAACATAACGAACATTTTAAAAACAGAAAAGTAAAACTGTTAAGTAGCTGTTTTACCAAAAACAAAAATTATCTTAAACACAAATTGTGAAATGAATCTGGCGCCGCAAGATATATTTAAGGCTGTGATTTATGATGTAATTTTTCTTGTTTTTAATTTTATTATTCTTAATTTTATTACAAACATAAAAAAATGCCTTTTTTTTCCTTTCTTTTTGCAAAATAAGTTGAATATTTTTTAAACTTGGAAAAAAATTTACCTTTAAAAACTCTTCTGCGTTAGACTTTAAACTTAATCGATCAACTACTGTTTTTCCGCTACCCTCTTAGAAAAATCATAATATCTGTACCATAAAACAGTGCAAACTCGTTGCAACCTCAATAAAGTGTTAAATTAAGATGAACAATTCTTTCGAAGATGATGAGGTATGAAATTGATAGCGTGTTATGTTTATGAAGTACCATAATAGGATTCAACTTAGCTTAATTCATATATGCGATAATATAGATACCACTAATTTGAACGATGTTATATTATACAACACACTCCGAATCTTCTTACAGTACACTTTTCCCAATGAACTGTCGGCCCGTTTCTTCATTCATCCGAGTTTTTTAAATACTTAAAAAAGGGAATGTTTCCCTTAAAAATAAAGAGAAGAAAAAGAAGAAAAAAAACAATCATTTAAAATAATACTATTTTCAAAACAGACAAAATATTATTTCTCGTATTGGTTTCGAAACAGATAAAATATTCCCTAACAGCAAAATAACTTGGACCCTCATTGGGCCAATATTCATGTATCTTGGCTCAGCAAGGGTTCAATGGACCTTTATTTTTCCGATATTGGCCTTACATAAAATTTTCCGATTCACCCCTCATTACAACCAATATCGGTCCTATATAGAATTGTCTCGGATTCACCCCATATTTTATATCCATTATTTAGCCAATGTAAGTTCTACATTGGCCAATGTAGGCCCTATATAATCCATTCTAGGACCAATATTAAAAAATCTAGACATCCGAATATAGGACCCATATCGAGCCAATCTTGTACCCAACTGGGGTCAAGTAAAATTGTTGCTATGGTTGGTTTATTCGTTTAAAAGGGAAGATGTACAGCGAGAGAAACTTATCAAGGCAAACCCTGTTTTACCTCCATTGATATTTTAGAACTTAAAATTTAGAGAATAGTGAGTTCAGGTAAACCTCCATCGTTTCACCTCTATTGATATTTTAAAACTTAAAATTTAGAGAATAGTGAGTTCAGGTAAACCTCCATCGTTTCACCTCTATTGATATTTTAAAACTTGAAATTTAGAGAATAGTGAGTTCAGGTAAACCTCCATCGTTTCACCTCTATTGATATCTTAAAACTTAAAATTTAGAGAATAGTGAGTTCAGGTAAACCTAGAGTATACCATGAAGTTTCAAATGCTGAAATAATTTCTTCAAAATATCAAAATGCAAAGAAATTATTGCAGGATAACTTTTCTATGGCTTATTCCTGTTATGATTTATTTTGGAATTCGATAAACATTTTTTCCCCCGCATTTGAAAGTACATGGTTTACTACATAAGTTTACCCGAATGCCCTTTTCTCTAAATTTTAAATTACTTGTGTAGTTGGGTGAAAAAATTTACCATTAAGAGTTATCTAAAGAGCTACACAAAAATTCGATGGATGAGAAGTTGTATGTATTTTCGAATTCTAGAGTGGAAGTTAATCTTGGAAGACTTTTTTTATAATTTTAACTTTGACAGTTTACAATTATATCTACTCGTATAAAGAAATTTAAAAAAAAAATTATCAGAGATGTGGAAAGACAGAGGAATGGGAATAACATAACCTTTTATTCTCACTTATTAGATAAAAACAACAAGATAAACCGTTGAAAGCTTTACTGATTTCTTATAAGAAGAAAAAGTATTGGTCTTCCTTTCTAATCAGCTATATGACAGCAATTCAAGATAAGATTTTAAAGGATATAATCTGAGTTCTAAGAAAAGAAATGGTATTTACTATCTCTTAAGAGCTTACTTCTAATTCTAAAAGATATTGCTTATTTTTTTTTTTTTCATTTCTAATTTAGAACAAATTTTAAAAAGAAACCCCACCTGTTCCTGATTTAAAATTACTTTATAACCCAAAATCTGAAGAATAATATTTATATTGTTAAAACAAATTAAAGACCAGAAAAAAAGGATGCGATTTTTTTTCATTCAAGTTCCAGTGCAATAAAACAGTAGTAGTTTATAGGAATTATTGTAAGCTGAGCTGTTTATAAGGCCAGTTGCTTGCTTTCACTATTTAGAAATTCTTAAATCAATCATGGAACTGATAATATAGGAACTAATAAGAATTTTTTTATTTCCAGTTTTAATTGATCGTGAATAAAAGGAACACTTAATGCCTTTAGAGCTAGTAGGAATGTTCTAGAATTAATTATTTAAATTAATTTAATAATTTATTGCAATTAATTATTACCATAATATGTACTGATCTAAATTTTACTAATTATTTTAAAAATCTTTAGTAAATGAACGGAGAAGGAAATTTTTTTTTAATCATATCATTTTCTCAATATTAAGTCTAAAAATTGTGTTTTATGTCAAACAGCTGAATTCACAGGCGGCATCTAATCTAGTTTTTTATTTAGTTTTAGTATATGCATTAACTGAAATTGAATGAGCGGAAATATAGCTTCCGTTAAAATAAAAACAATAATTAAAGAAAATAATCATTGGGAATGGTTATCAAAGAAACATATATGTACTTCATTATTGTTGAATTTGATTATTTTTATTCAATACAAATACATCCTTTTTGTAATTCCTTCATTATATTGTTATTAGGAAGAGAAAAAAAATATTGTTTTGAATTTTCTTTACATACAATTATTTTAATTAAATAATTTAATAAAAATAATGGAAATATTAAATAAATAAGAAATATTTAATGGGATTTAAATTTAATGCCAAATTCCGAAAATCATGACTAATTCCCGAACTGCTGTCACCCTAAGGTTCTGAGGAAAACCATTTGGAAACCACTGTTCTATAAGTTCCCTTTGTGCATTAATAACAAAAAATTTCATTTTCCGAAAATTGTCGCCTTAGCGAGATCTCATCTTTTAGAATAGGATTTTTGTGCAGTATGTGCACAGACTTTTCAGAAAATACTTCTCCCCCTTTCAATTTTAGCATAAAAAGCAAACAAGAGGAAAAATAACATGAAAATTAATTTATGTAGTGATAATTGATAAATTCTAATTTAAGATTTTATGATCTCATAATTATATAAGAATAAAAAAAATTTTCAAGCCTTTCGAATACCAATACATGTCTATAAGTAACCCCTAACAAGAATATTAAATTTGATAACAGATTGCACAAACATTAAATGTCTATGAAAAAAAAATTAACTTAATTTAACATTGCACTTTTACTCTACATTTACAATTTAGCATAAATTAGGCATACATATTTAAAATATTCATTTATCATAATTTTACTATAATCTTCTGAAAAGGGAGAGAATAAATGAGAAAATTTACATTACATTTTGTATAAATTAGTAGATTTAAGTTAGGCATTAAGTTACATTCTAACATAAAGCAACATAAGTAAAGTAAATTAAAGTTAATTAAAATAAAAAGAATATATACACAATATAATCGGCAACTGTCTTACATTCATTCAATTAAGCAAGAACAATTTTAAATGATCACCAAAACTACCTCTAATGATGTTCAAACTACAATAAAATAAACATATAAATATGATAAGCAGTTGATTATAAGTTGGTGTGATTAAACTCTCGCCAATGATAATAATATATTTGTTAATAATCGATTTTTCAATTTACATTTTGCTAAAACTTTTGAAAATTAATTTTTTGGAAAGAGTATAAAGTGGCAGGTATCAAGGCTAAAGACAAATACGTGAACAACAGCATCATCTGAAAAACTTTGTTGGAAAAAAATTCTAAGCATGAAAAAGCACATCTTGATAAGTTCAAAATTGAAAAGCACAGCAATGATTAAAAATTACAGGTTCGATTAGATAATTGTTAATTGGGTAATAGGGATTTTTATTCTGCATTAATTTCTTAACAAATAATTGACATGCAACATTAAAAATGTAATTATATGATGCATAAAATAAATTAGTAAAATAATTAGAAAAAAAAACCGTAGGACTTCCTGTTGTAAATGGATCTGATAAGTTAGCAGTTGACTAAAACATGAAAAGTAACTAATAAAAGCAGAAAAAAAAAAAGATTTTTTTCAACAGCTGATGTTTACATTCTAGCTTGAGGTCACTCTAGGAGGGAATTTCCTCGTATTTCATGTTTGACCGTGAAGGTTAGAATTTGAACTGAAATCTAGATTCAATGCAGATAGAGAAAGCTAATTTAATTCTTTTTATTTCGAGTATAATAATACACACAATTTTTTCCCATACTACAGTGTTAAATCTCAGAGTGCTAACAACATCTCCATATATCTTTATGATCAAGACAAAACAATAATAGATCAATAAATCAAAACATTCTTTAAAAAAAAAATCTCCAAGCGAACTTTAATTACAAAATTCTATTTACACAACAAGGGGGTGGGGTTCCTAATAGTAAACCGATCTATAAAATGCAGTCCTTACGTCAGAGCCGTAGTGAGGTAGTTCAAAATCAGAACGAAATAATGTTTGGTTGATAACAGCTGATATTTTAAAATTAAAGATGATACAGGATGCAATTTGGCATGGAAGATTAAGGTTCACTTACCTTTTTTAAATCCTAAACAGGTGTGAGCGTTGATCCAATATATAAACAAAACAATAACCGCATGTAATCCAACATTGCGGGAAAACTTTGCGGCCATTTTCACTGCGAGTTACAGTGTCACTGCCGCAACCCTAATGCTCAGAAATGGTTTTGTTTCTTTCATGATTTCTCTTCCCTTTTCGCAGCCAACAGATGATTTCTTTGGCGTCTTTTTTGGCGGATTTCTGTCGTTTGGAGAAAACTACTTGTAGATTCGAAAGGATTTAGTTTCTATCTTGCCTTCTTTTAATTATTAAAAATAACAATTAGCACTTATTGAAAATGACAGATTCATGCCAAACTTCAATTTTATTTGGAAAAAAAAATGTTAAAATTTTTTTCGTAATTTCAATAATTTAAGACAAAAAATCTTATGATGTTAACTTTTGTGGAAAATATTTTTTAATGTATAGATAGACAACTTTATTAAATATTACGAAAAGATTTTCCTATCTTTTTTAGATAGGGATTAATTACTGACGTAACTTTTTATCTATTGTGTGTAATTATTTATTTTGGAGTTTTTATCATTAATGTTTCTTTAAGAATTAAAATAAAAAGAAAAAATAATAGGAACATTTCACTTCATTTAAATTTGTGCACAAGAGAGGAAATTTGAGAGATACAGTCCTCATTATATTTTAGTCAATCGCATCAACTGCCGTAGACATAATTTATTAATAGAAATAAGCGTAGTTTTTACAAATAAATGAATTTCTCATTTCTCTTCAAGAAATTTGTTTCCCTCTCTGTTCTTTAAATATTTTTCATTTTCGCATCTTTTAACAAATAAGTGATTTTTTCATATTTTGTCCTCAAAAAGTTTTTTTGTTTTGTTTTTGTTTCTTCTTTTGTTTTTGTTTCTATATTTTCCTTTTTCACATATTTCAGCAAATAAATTGCTTTTTCATTTTTTGTTATTAAGGAGTTGTTTTTTTCTTTTTTTTCTGTGCTTCTTATATTTACTATTGTTACAAATTTGTACAAATAAATGAATTTTTAATTTTTTGCCTCCAAAAGCGTTTTTGAATATATACCATTTTCACTTATTTTTACAAATAAATAAATTTTTTTATCTTCCAAAAATTTTTTTTGTGCTTCTTATATTTACTATTGTTAGATATTTGTATAAATAAATTTTTTAATTTTTTGTCTCCAAAAGAGTCTTTGAATATATTCTATTTTAGCTTATTTTTACAAATAAATAAATTTTTTATCTTCCAAAAGTATTTTTTTTGTACTTCTTATATTTACAATGGTTCCAAATTTGTATGAATGAATAAATTTTTAATTTTTTGTCTTCAAATCGTTTTTGAATATACTTTATTTTTACAGATAAATTATTTCTTTTATCTTCCAAAAGTTCTTTTTTTTTTCTGTGCTTTTTATTCATTCCACCTTCATGTATTTTAAAAAATAAATAAATTTTTCCTTTCTTGTCATTGAGAGGTTTTATTTTCTATTCTAGTAATATTTCCAAAAAAGAAAATAATAAAACCTAAAAATTATACCTACTTTTATGCAGCTGGAAAAAATAAACGAAATTTTTCTATTCTGACTGTTTATGTTACCTTTGAGCTTGAGCTATCGATTTGTTGTGCTACTATTTACGCATTGAATATGAAGTTAAAAAGATTAAATCTAAATACATTTTGCCATATTTTCCATCTGCGGTCAGTATTTTATAATAATTAAATTAATTGTATTTTAATTTTAAGATCATCTTTTGAGAATAAAGAAGATAAACCTGAGAAATTAGACAACTGAATAGACTACATATTTTGTGTTACACGTATACTTGCTACTACAAGAATACAGAAAATTAGATAACTGAGTATGAAAAAACTATCTGTCTAAAAATTTTTATGGTTTAATATATACTTAAAAATGTTGTTATAAAATAAGGTTTACAAAAATAAATCTTTTCGATTTTCGTCAATGCAATAATTTCTAGAAAAAAAATAGTTACATTTTTCTGGAATAAAAGAAGTACATTTTTTTTAAAAAATTCTCTATTTAGAATACTTATAATTTAAATCCGAACTATACTAAAAGAACAAAGATGACGATGAATAAAACTATAGTAAATAGGTCATTGATAGTGTTATCATTTAAGGTTTTATTTGCCAGCATGGTTATCAATTAAGGAGAATTATCATTTTCAAAAACATGATAACAAGATAGTTAAGGGGTTAGAAAATGAGCAGTTAAGCCAAAAAAAAAATGATAAAATTTTAATATATTAGATTCTCATCAGGTTGTAATGGAAAGGAGTAAAATTAAAATAAGATTTATATTCCTGGCAATTACAAGTAAAGAATTTTCCTGTAAAGAACATGGAGTTCTCCTGTTTGAAGAATTGATAAATTCCACTAACAGTCAGTCATTCAAGGTTCTACTCTTGAACAAAGATTATACAAGAAAATTTATATAACTTAGAAAGTATTCTTTCCTGTCCTGTATTCTCCAATTAAATGTTTTCTGAATATAAAGTTATTTTCTGACTGTTCAAATTACAAATTTGGATACTTTATTCTTTTCATGGTTTAGCCTCTACTGCTTGTCGAGCCATTTTTTTTAAAGTGGAAAAAAAAACAATGAAAAACATTTTTTGACAATTTCCTTTCTGTTTTTTTTCATTTACTCTTTTTAAAGTATTAACGGTCAATATTTATTAATTTTCGAAAAATTATAATTTTTTAAAGCTTAGAACTACTGCCAGAAAGACGGCAAAGGCATATTGGTCCAGAATGGTATAATGGGACTATATAGAAGCAGAACATATGATTTAATAAAATATTTATTCAGCATAAGAAAATCGCCTTTCGTCTTCATAAAATAAAAAACAAAAAGTAATAAAAACGAAATTACTTCCTGAACAACTCAATAAAAAATTAAATAAAACAAATTATTGTCCAAATTAGGAATCAAAACTGCTTGCAATAGTTAAATTTAATGTATTTTTCCAATGTTATTAAAATTGGAATCTATCCAAATGTGAAAATATAAAAGTGCGTTGAAGAGATAGAGTTTTTAAAAAAGTGACAAAAATTTTATGATATTTAACACACACATTCTGAAATCTCCATTTTTAATAAATATAGAGATAAAAATTGTATTTATTGCTGTTTCGAAGAAAAATTAATGAATCGATTTTAAGCTGCCTTACCAGTATAGTAGTAGTAGTGCTTAGTTTTTAAGAAGCATTAAACTTTTGACGACTTTAATGTTGTATCGAATATTCGATACAAACAATCATTCTAACTTCTACACTTAAACTGAATGTAAAAATTTTAAAGGATGATCTCATTCCTCAACTGTGTTATTTTCTTTCAAGACTTTGAAAGATCATAATCTCGCTTCGCCGTTCAATTACCATGGAAATATTCCATTACTTTTATCGATCGATATGCATTTAGCCAGAGATATAGTCTGACACAATAACACAGGATTTATTCTGAAATGCGAAATACCACCTGAAACCACAATTTTTACTTCCGCAATAATACGATTCAAAATGTCACGTAACTTTCAGGAAACGATGGAAAATTGAAGCCATTTCGAACTGTTCTAAAATATTTCTTAGGTTAAAAGAAGTCATTTTTGGAGTTTGATGGGGTCATTTTTTTTAATACCTCTTGGTTGTCAGTTGTCTGCCTCGTGGCTAAAGGTTAGAAAACAATTTTTCCACTTATTAGACAAGCTAATTTCGCAGACTTCATATTTCAGATACATCCAAAATTGAATTTGTTTATTACGTTTAGGGACCGTTCTAATATTAAGTTTAATTGTTTTTGGAAATAATGGATTACCCGTCCTCTCTTGTAAGCAAAAATAAGCTTGTTGCAAACCCCTCGCATTGCTTACGTAAGAAACTCCGCACCATTTCCCGTGCTTCGCTACAACTTTAATTTTTACTGTAGTAATCTAGTTTTAAGAATTTTAGTACTAAATATTGTATTAAGATTGAAGTCCACAAAACTTTAATCTAAATTTCTTTTTTTTAATTATTTTAATTCCCTTTTAAAATTTTTACGTTACATTTTTGTCTCAGTTTATAAAAGCATGATTCAAAAGTGTAACTTTAAGCAATATTTTTTTTTTTTTTTAATTTTTTTTTTCCAAAGGCAGGCACTGAATTTGAATCTTTTTCCTATACTATGCCAGAATTGTAGCTCATTTCGCGTTACCCAGTGGGCACCTGTGAGCCAAAGTCACGGAGGCGAGCAACATTGCCCACGCCACACTACCACAAACCCGTTTATAGGGTGGGCCACATTCACACATCATACACACACACGCATAACAGAGGACAGCACAAAGAGAGAGAGAAACATCCATGCCCAGAGCGGGATTCGAACCCGCAGCCTATGGCTTCGCAGTCAGGCACGCTAACCGCTCGGCCACCTGGCCGGCACTTTAAGCAATATGAACGCGTGCTTTCAGATAGCTTTCAGAATAGCTATGGGATACATGCAAGTGACGTAGTGTGGATATGTTGATCCTGATTGGTTGTTGAAACGTGGCATTAGTTTATGTTAGAAACTGCTCTTTCCATTCTATTTCGAATAAGTAAAGTATCAATTATCTTAAGTGACACATTCTATATTCCTTCACAAAGATTCTTTCCCTAAGATTTCAATTCTTTCCCTAAAATTTCAACTCCTTCACTATATATTTCTTACCTAACACAAAGACAGGCACTAAGCTATGTAGAACATAAACCTATTAATTATGCATCTAAGTTGCCAGGCACTCGAAGCAAAAATATAACACTGTTGCAATTAAATACATAAACAAGAATTAAATCAAAGTGAAGTAAAAGAGATAGATGAGAAAGAATTATCTTTCAATAAATTCGACAGTGATACGGAGCTGTACTTAATTAACTTCACATTAATTAATATTCCAACTTGTGTGCAAAACGTTAGCTCAACTTGAACACGTAATTTTGCTTATAAACGATCAGCGATGATTCAGGGGATAGAGCGTTCGCCTTCCAATGAGGCGAACCGGGTTCGAATCCCAGTCGATACGAATTCCGCATCCGGCTTGCACTGACATCAGTGCTGACGTGAAATATCCTCAGTGGAAGACGGATCATGGGTTAGAGTCCCCTTGCCGTT